TGAAAAAATTATCTTTTATAGTTTATATAGGAGTATAGGCACCCACTACTTCCTCACTGCAGCTCCTGCTAAAATTAACTAGTTAAAGGAAGGTATTGCAAGATTTTCAGAAGCAGTCAGGGAATTTGCTTGCCAAAAGAGGGCCAAAATAGAGCATGAGGATTTTATTTCTTCCTTTGAAAAGATGTCAGCAACATTATACAACTGAGGTATAAACACCAAGGGTGACCAGCTGTCAAAATAAAACAATAGGATGGGGAATAAATGGAGTCAGGGAGAAGAAAAGACTAGACAGGCACAAAGCAGAGAAATAGGTTCAAAGAGAGTCATGAGGTGTTAAGTGAACCTCAATGGGGTTAATGAACTTGCCCTTGAGTAGTGGCCAACTTTTGTACCTGTGACAGACTGCCCAGGGTCCTGTGAGACACCCTGCAAGGTGCCAAGGACCAGCTGCCATGATATTGTGTAAGACACACAGGAGTGGCGCAGGGATGGGACAGAGAATGAAAGTGAATTTACCCATTGAACAGAATTTGTGCCAGCTTGAAAAGTTCATGACCTATTTCTACACTTGATGGCCCGTGATGAATTTCCACAATCTCAATACTCCTCTCCACGTGTCTGGCTGCTTCCTGCCACTTCCCTGATGGAAAAAACCAAACCAAAACAAAAAATGAGTCATGAATAAATAATTTTGAGAGCTACTGTCACCCAAAGAATCTGACAGCATTATGCAAAATGTGATGAACTATGTCCACAGCATTCTTGGGAGGCTGCTGACCTCAGAACCAGGACAGGGAATCTAGAAGAATATGAGATCACATTATTGTTCACTGGCTGCTGGGAATGCAGTTTTGGCTAAAGTAGTCTTTTTGAGAGCCCTGCTGTCAAAACTAGAGAAACACAGGAGGAGAAAAGTGAAAAGGCTAGTCATGTTAAATTCAAAGTTCAGTAAACTAAAGATAATGAGAAGACAATGCCGTACCAAGAGTAGCATAGACCTGTGCCAGATGATCTTCCATCTCTCCCATCAGCAAATGCTCTGGAGACAAGAAGTTTCCAGCATCCATCTGACACTTCAGGAGCATTTTGATAGCCTGATCTGTAACAAAACAGGGTATAAAATTCATCCTACTGGCCAGTCTCCAGCTTTCCATGATCCATGAAATAAAATCAGTCCAAGCTCATCTTTGCATCTTACACAGCTAGATTTGGATTTGGTTAGGATTCAACATCACCTTCATCTGCAACCCCGCTGATTCTAACACAGTGTTGGCCCGACTCACTCCAGGAAAGCAAGGCCTGGGAACGCATAACTCCAATGTTCTTTTAGTTACTATGGAACAACGTGTGATGTTACTATGGAACAACATGTGATTAACACCCGGATCAGGGGTATAAAAAACCTAAAGCTCAAGTCCCCAGGGACACCAGGCTGCATGCCAGAAGACCCCAACGGCATAAGCAACAGTGCCATCTCATGGCTAGAACATCTCCCAGTGTGTACGCATTAGCTGCTGACCTTAAAGCAGAAAGTTGAGCCTTACCAGCCTTCCCGTCTCTTAGCAGTTCTAATGCTTTCTTGATTTGTTGCTGAAGGTCCTGTAAACGGCCTGACAGGCTCTCTCTGCTGACTGACATTGCACAAGCTTCATTTGAACAACAAAGCATGTCTTCCCCCTGTGG